AAAAAAAAAAAAAAAAAAAAAAAAAAAAAAAAAAAAAAAAAAAAGACTCTACAAAGATCTTCGTTTATGTGTTTTTCTCTCTAGAGCCATGGAGTCATCAAAACCAATGCATATGCATGTTCCTGCCTTAACTATACCGTGTATTTGTAGTTTGGTGGTCTGTTTTTAATAATATTTAGTAATGGAACTATTCCTTGTTGTTCAAGTTGTTTGTAAGAGGGGAATGAGTACGTTGGCCTCGAACAGGGGTGGATTGTGAGATCTCATATCGATTGGAGAGAGGAACGAGTGTTAGCAAGGATGCTGGGCCTCGGGTGGATTGTGAGATCCCACATCGGTTGGAGAGGGGAATAAAACATTTTTTTTATATAAAGATGTGGAAACCTTTTCCTAGCAGACCGTTTTTAAAACATTGAGGGGAAGTCCGAAAAAGGAAAGTCAAAAGAGGATAATATATACTAGCGATGGGCTTGGTCTGTTTTATATATATATTGGGTGACATTTTAAAAATATATTGGGTGACATTTTAAAAGTAGCTTTCATTTGTAGCTGTGTGTAGTTGTTATGGTTCATGTGGTTAATGATTTATCTGGTTTCAGCCCCTAATACCTGTCAGATTACGTGCTTATGGACAGTCTTGTGCTGATTTGATTATTAAGTCATCAGCCTATAACAAAAACCTAAGCTATATGGTTGCTGGTCTATATCTTTAGTTTTTCGTAGAGTTTATACGAGGAGGAACTTCCTACACTGTGACTACATGTACTAACACAAACAAGCTGCATAAATTGGATGCCGAGATTGTTCATTTAGCAGTTGGATTATAGACTTTTGGGTTTGGTTAAGTTGGATTATAAACTTTTTGGGTTTGATTGGATTGGGTCGTACTAAAATCAAATAATGTGTCATTAACCTTTCTCACAAATGTAAAATATTTTTAATCTTCGTAATAATCTTACAAGTATGGTAGGGTTAAGTTGTAATGCTATTTTCAAGTTGATCGGGTTAACCCAACCAAAAAAATGTCACATCACAAACCCACTAGAAGTTTTTGCTATTTTAAAAGTTCAACTCTATCCAACTTTTATGATGTGAGTTGGATAGCCTTAGTTGGTTGGGTTCTCTGTGCATATGAACACCCATAAAAGATTGAAGACGGGAAGAAGAGGGAAAAAAAGAGAAATTCAACTCAACCTAACTTTTATGACTTCAGTTGGATAATTAAGTTTTTCTGGTTCTTAAGTTGTATGAATTCGAGAAGAAGGAGAAAAAAGAACATAGGAGAGAAAAGAACATAGGAGAGATGAGGAAAAAGGGAGGGAAAAAAAAAGAAAAAAGAATGAGACGAGGGAGAGGGTGGGAGGAAAAGTGAGAAAGAAAAAAAAGAAAAAAAAGGTTTAATTTTATTTATTTATTTTTATTTTTAATTGGAAAATATTTTTTTTTAAATAAAAAATGAGTAATTGACAAAAACAAAATAAATAAATAAATCTGATGATCCCAACCTTAGACAGACTACATAAGCTCAGAATTAGTTAAATAATTAAATCAAGTAAACGAACTCAAATTTAACCCAAAAAAAGAAAAGAAAAAAACAATCAAATTGATATTCATATTCTCTCTGAATTAAATTAATTTTAAAAACATCATATACAAATGTGAAATTATGTATTAAAAAGTTTTTTTTTTTTTTTTTTTTTTTTAAAGCTTGATTTATAAAATTTATAACAAAAATTAGTTTAATTATTAATTTTGGGTATCTCCCAAAACTCACCCACTCGCTTTAAGTTCGGCGTTCATTGAAACTGGGTCTGGATTTTGCGCCCTTGAATCTACACTCTTCACCACACTCACAATCGCATTCATTCCATTTCTTTCGTTAAGACTTCAGAAGTTTCAACCCGGAAAGATCTGAAGAGGATGGCAGCAATTTACAGCCTCTACATCATCAACAAATCTGGTGGCTTGATCTTCTACAAGGTAATCAACATAATGCAATTATAAACTAAATTTCTGCTAATTCCCCTCTGGATTTGGAGTTTTGATGCTTAATTTGGTATCTGAAACGAAAAACAAATATGAACCCCAAATCATGATTCCAGTTTGTTCATCAGATTTTCAATCGACCTTTCTAAAACTCATGAATTATAAACCGGTTATCGGTGGAATTATTTTAATCTTCATTCAGTATTTTATGTGGATTGAATCTGTTATTGTGTTTGTTTTGAAAATTTAGGATTATGGGTCTGCTGGACGAATGGACACAAACGATAGCTTAAGAGTGGCGAGTTTATGGCATTCGATGCATGCCATTTCCCAGCAGCTTTCGCCTATTTCCGGTTGTTCGGGTACTGAACTCCTTGAAGCCGACACATTCGACCTCCATTGCTTCCAGTCACTTACTGGTACATTTTTTTCTTCCACTACTTTGTTTAATTTGTGCTTCAAACGCATGGATTCTGTCTCAAACTCTGTTTCAAAGACATGCAATCAAATTCCTAATGTGAAAGCACAATTGAAGTTCTAGAAGTGTTATTCATCTCTTGTGAAATCTTATATTGGTCGGAGAGATGAACAATACATTTCTTATAAGGGTGTAGAAACCTCTCACCTAGCAGAGGTTTTTTAAAACCTTGAGAGGAAACCCGAAAGTAAAAGCTCAAAGAAGACAATATCTGCTAGCGGTGGGCTTGGACTGTTACAAATGGTATCAGAGCCATACACCGGGCAATGTGCTAGCGAGGACGCTAGACCCCAAGGGGGTGGATTGTGAGATCCTACATCGGTTGGAGAGGGGAACAAAATATTTCTTATAAGAGTGTGAAAACCTCTCCCTAGCAAACACGTTTTAAAACCTTGAGGAGAAGCTCGAAAGTGAAAGTTCAAAGAGGACATTATCTGCTAGCGGTGGACTTGGGTTGTTACAAATGGATTAGAGCCATACACCGGGCGATGTGCTAGCAAGGATGCTGGCCCCAAGAAGGTGGATTGTGAGATCCTACATCGGTTGTAGAGGGGGACACAAACATTTTTTTTTATAAGGGCGTGGAAACCTCTCCTTAGTAGACGCATTTTAAAACCTTGAGAGAAAGCCCGTAAGGGAAAACCCGAAAAGGACAATATCTGCTACGGTGAGTTTGAGCTGTTACATCTTTCTTGTCTTGAGACCAACAATATATGGGGTATCAAACTTAACCTTTGTTGAGATTATAATGCCTTAATTAGTCGAGTGAGATTATAATGCCTTAATTAGTCGAGTTATATTCCGTTTGGAAAAATGTAGCTTCTTTATGATCATATTACAATGTCTTCATCACAGATATGATTGTGCTGTCTGATATTTTCAAAGTCTCTCGACATCAACTTTCATGTTATATTCATTTTGTAGTTCTTAATTAAGAAGCTGAATCATGGATGAAATTGGGTGTTTTAGGAACAAAGTTTTTTGTTGTGTGTGAGCCCGGGACACTGCACATGGAGGGTCTTCTGAAGTACATTTATGAGTTATACACAGATTATGTCTTGAAGAATCCATTCTATGAGATGGAGATGCCTATTCGGTGTGAGCTCTTTGATATCAACCTCGTGCAGGCAGTGCAAAAGGATCGTGTTGCTTTGCTTGGCCGATGAACTTTGAATATCCTTCATTTTGCCAGTATTAACCATCCATAATTCAAGAAAGGCTCATGATATTGTTGCCCAAATAATTGATAATTTGCCTGCTAAATGTACTCCATGGTCCTTTTCAGTGTTCACCGGATAATCATGGTTCATTTTATAGCCAATTTTTTGTCAATGGTATACACAACTGAATCCAGGCTTTGAGCTTTGGGGCATGAGTTGCAGCAATGTGCCACCAAATAAACACAAGCACCCAAATAATCAACGTTTTACTTAGATCAGTTTGTTGTTACATGTTTTCATGTCAGCCAAATCTCAAATTTTTCTGCATTGTTATGATATTATTACTGACTCGATGCTCGTGCTTGTGTGTATATAAAGGGTTAGCTGTAGATCAAGCCTTCTCAACAGATGAAGAGTGTGTCAGGACAATGAACCAATTCTACAATTCTCAAGAGCAGCTCTGTTGCCGGATCGTTGCACTATGAACTGATAGGTATTGGAAGCATTTCTATTAAGGTCAGGTCAACATCATCTGCTAAATTTTCTAAGTTTATCTCTTTTCTTTCTCTAGAGATAATATATGTTGAAGAAAGATTTGACTAAGAAAGTTAGCTTTTTCTGTAACTGTCTAAGTCTGCTGTCTAAGTCTGCTGTCTAAGTCCACCGCTAGCAGATGTTGTCCTGTATTGTCCTCTTTGAGCTTTCCCTTTCGGGCTTTCTCTCAAAGTTTTTAAAACGTGTTGGTTAGGGAGAGGTTTTCACACTATCAAAAAGAATGTTTTGTTCCTCTCTCCAACTGATGTGGGACCTCAGAATTCACTTCCCTTTGGGGCCTAGCGTCCGCGTTGACACTCGTTCCCCTCTTCAATCGATGTGGGATCTCACATCCACCTCCCTTCAGGGCCCAGTGTTCTCGTTGGCACTCGTTCCTCTCTCCAATTGATGTGGGATCTCACAATTCACTCCCCTTCGGGGCCCAACGTCCTCGTTGGCACACCGCTCGATGTCCTCCCCCTTTGGGGCTCAGCGTCCTCGCTGGCACATGACTCGGTGTTTGGCTCTAATACCATTTGTAACAACCCAATCCCACCGCTAGCAGATATTGTCCTTTTTGACTTTCCTTAGCAAATATTGTCATCTTTGGGCTTTTCCTAGCAGATATTATTCTCTTTGGATTTTCGTGAAAGGAACCTAGCAAGTATTGTCATTTTTTGGATTTCCCTTTCAGACTTCCACTCAAGGTTTTTAAAACGCGTCTGCTAGGGAGAGGTTTTCACATCTTTATAAAGAATGCTTTGTCTCCTTTCCAACCGAGGTGGGATCTCACGTATTTAAACCTTTGTTGTTGAAGCAAACTCTAAACAAAATAATAAAAACAATAAGGGACCCAACAAACAAAACTATGGCTAGTATTTTTATTCCATTAGCAATCAGATATGATTCTTTTTTCTGGCATACATAATCAGATATGATTCTTTTTTCTGGCATACATAGCTCAGAATTAACTAAAAGATAAGACTATAATTAGATTATCTCTTAAGATCAAAGATCGATCAAAGATCTAGAAGCAAGATTTGAAACTTTATTCTAAATTGAATCACTTCACAATCAAACTTGATCAAGGTTTGATTGAATGACTTAGATGTAATCTACCATAAGAATTGAAACTTATAAATGACAAAAATGATGCTAAAATTTTTAAGGGTGAGTCTCAATTTGAGAGCTAAATTTCATTCATCAAAATCTGTGTTTTACATAGTAATTTGTAGTAATTTGTTAGTATTTATAGTCTCTCTACAAAAGAAACCTTCAAACTCTTTAAATGTCCATTAAAAAAGTTAGTGGCCATGAGGATCACGGTGTTCCAAATGTTCCAACGGGACCTATTACACAATCCAAGACCAAGAAGATTCAACAAACGTTCATTATTCATCTACAAAATTGGATAGACTCGATTCAACCATTATTTCATGTGTTACAAGTTGATTTGATTGAGAAAGGACCATTTGGAGCTTCAGATGTGGATATTTGCACTGTTGAAATAGTAGATGAAGTTGCTATAAATTACACTTGATTTGATTGATAAGTAGTTAGAAAATTTTATTTATTATTTTTAATTTTATAATTCTTGTAATGGGTAAAAGGGTGGAAGTTATTGTCAAATTGACTTCTTCTTTTGTTGGAGATTTAAAAGAATCGAGATTAAATTATAACCACTAACTTCTTTAGTGGACATTTGAAGAATTGAAAGTTTCTTTGTGGTGGGACTATAAATACCACCATTTATTATGTATGTAATAACCTAAAATAATTATAAAATGTATTTTGTGTGTATGTGTTGTGTGTTTAATAATAATGATAATAATAATAATAATAATAAATAAATAAATAAATAAATAAATAAATAAATAATTAAATTAAAAAAAAAAAAAAAAAAAAAAAAAAAAAAAAAAAAAAAAAAAAAAAAA